CATTAAACATGAACGTCACAGGTAGCAACATTAAACATGAACGTCACAGGTAGCAATATGAACGTCACGGGTAGCAACATGAACGTCACAGGTAGCAACATGAACGTCACAGGTAGCAACATGAACGTCACAGGTAGCAACATTAAACATGAACGTCACAGGTAGCAATATGAACGTCACGGGTAGCAACATGAACGTCACAGGTAGCAACATGAACGTCACAGGTAGCAACATGAACGTCACAGGTAGCAACATGAACGTCACAGGTAGCAACATGAACGTCACAGGTAGCAACATTAAACATGAACGTCACAGGTAGCAGCATTAAACATGAACGTCACAGGTAACAACATGAACGTCACAGGTAGCAACATGAACGTCACAGGTAGCAACATTAAACATGAACGTAACAGGTAGCAACATGAACGTCACAGGTAGCAACGTTAAACATGAACGTCACAGGTAGCAACATGAAAGGCACAGGTAGCAACATGAACGTCACAGGTAGCAAAATGAACGTCACAGGTATCAACATGAACGTCACAAGTAGCAACATGAACGTCACAGGTAACAACATGAACGTCACAGGTAGCAACATTAAACATGAACGTAACAGGTAGCAACATGAACGTCACAGGTAGCAACGTTAAACATGAACGTCACAGGTAGCAACATTAAACATGAACGTAACAGAAATCAACACTACCCAGCATTGCATGAAGCTTAAACAGCTTTGATCAATGAAACCGGAAGTCCGGCTACAGCTGGAGATCGATGTCTGAGGCAATTTTCAACCAATGTTCGCCAGTTCTATTTATTGTTCGCCAGTTCTATTCAATGTTCGCCAGTTCTATTCAAAGTTCGCCAGTTCTATTCAATGTTCGCCAGTTCTACTCAATGTTCGCCAGTTATATTCAATATTCGCCAGTCAACGTTCGCCAGTTCTATTCAATGTTCGCCAGTTAATGTTCGCCAGTTCTATTCAATGTTCGCCAGTTCTATTCAATGTTCGCCAGTTCTACTCAATGTTCGCCAGTTATATTCAATATTCGCCAGTTAACGTTCGCCAGTTCTATTCAATGTTCGCCAGTTCTATTCAATGTTCGCCAGTTCTATTTAATGTTCGCCAGTTCTATTCAATGTTCGCCAGTTATATTCAATATTCGCCAGTCAACGTTCGCCAGTTCTATTCAATGTTCGCCAGTTAATGTTCGCCAGTTCTATTCAATGTTCGCCAGTTGTATTCAATGTTCGCCAGTTCTATTCAATGTTCGCCAGTGAATGTTCGCCAGTTCTACTCAATGTTCGCCAGTTCTACTCAATGTTCGCCAGTTCTATTCAATGTTCGCCAGTTAATGTTCGCCAGTTCTACTCAATGTTCGCCAGTTCTACTCAATGTTCGCCAGTTCTATTCAATGTTCGCCAGTTAATGTTCGCCAGTTCTACTCAATGTTCGCCAGTTCTATTCAATGTTCGCCAGTTCTATTCAATGTTCGCCAGTTCTATTCAATGTTCGCCAGTTCTAATCAATGTTCGCCAGTTCTATTCAATGTTCGCCAGTTAACATTCGCCAGTTAATGTTCGCCAGTTCTACTCAATGTTCGCCAGTTCTATTCAATGTTCGCCAGTTAACATTCGCCAGTTAATGTTCGCCAGTTCTACTCAATGTTCGCCAGTTCTATTTAATGTTCGCAAGTTCTATTCAATGTTCGCCAGTTCTATTCAATGTTCGCAAGTTCTATTCAATGTTCCCCATTTATATTCAATGATCGCCAGTTCTATTCAATGTTCGCCAGTTCTATTCAATGTTCGCCAGTTCTATTTAATGTTCGCCAGTTCTATTCAATGTTCGCCAGTCAATGTTCGCCAGTTCTATTCAATGTTCGCCAGTTCTATTCAATGTTCGCCAGTCAATGTTCGCCAGTCAATGTTCGCCAGTTCTATTCCATGTTCGCCACCAATGTTCGCCAGTTCTATTCAATGTTCGCCAGTTCTATTCAATGTTCGCCAGTTCTATTCAATGTTCGCCAGTTCTATTTAATGTTCGCCAGTTCTATTCAATGTTCGCCAGTCAATGTTCGCCAGTTCTATTCAATGTTCGCCAGTTCTATTCAATGTTCGCCAGTCAATGTTCGCCAGTCAATGTTCGCCAGTCAATGTTCGCCAGTCAATGTTCGCCAGTCAATGTTCGCCAGTCAATGTTCGCCAGTCAATGTTCGCCAGTCAATGTTCGCCAGTCAATGTTCGCCAGTCAATGTTCGCCAGTCAATGTTCGCCAGTCAATGTTCGCCAGTCAATGTTCGCCTACAGATCCGAGAGATTGGTGCCTGCAGCGACACCATCGAACGTCTGTGACCTCATCGCACATTGGTAGGCTACTGTCTATATGGGACGTAAACGCGCATTTGGTCGCATCTTTTTGTTACATCAATACGTCCTTGTTATCGTGTTTTGTGACATCAATACCTCCTTGTTATCGTGTTTTGTGACATCAATACGTCCTTGTTATCGTGTTTTGTGACATCAATACGTTCTTGTTATCGTGTTTTGTTACATCGACAAGTTATTGTCACCCTACGAAGCTAAGATGTGAAACGTGACGTACACTTCAACCATGAAAATATCAACACACGATTCCTACACTGACTCTAGATGTCCCCAACCTAACTCCCCCCCCCCCCCTCTCATAACTCCTAGCATTTAGGGAGGAGCATAAATCGGCAGCTCAGCTCAAATCAATATAAGACCAGGCATGTCTATGTAAGGCAGGTGCTACAGGACATTTCTTGCTGCATCTGTCCTACAGGACATTTCTTGCTGCATCTGTCCTACAGGACATTTGTTTTTATATCTGTCCTACAGGACATTTCTTGCTACATCTGTCCTACAGGACATTTCTTGCTGCATCTGTCATACAGGACATTTCTTGCTGCATCTGTCCTACAGGACATTTCTTGCTGCATCTGTCCTACAGGACATTTCTTGCTGCATCTGTCCTACAGGACATTTCTTGCTGCATCTGTCCTACAGGACTGTCTAGTAGGACATTTGTTGTTATATCTGTCTAGCAGGACATTTGTTGTTATATCTGTCCTACAGGACATTTGTTGTTATATCTTTCTAGCAGGACATTTGTTGTTATATCTGTCCTACAGGACATTTGTTGTTATATCTTTCTAGCAGGACATTTGTTGTTATATCTGTCTAGTAGGACATTTGTTGTTATATCTGTCCTACAGGACATTTGTTGTTATATCAGTCTAGTAGGACATTTGTTGTTATATCTGTCTAGTAGGACATTTGTTGTTATAGCTGTCTAGTAGGACATTTGTTGTTATAGCTGTCTAGTAGGACATTTGTTGTTATAGCTGTCTAGTAGGACATTTGTTGTTATAGCTGTCCTACAGGACATTTGTTGTTATAGCTGTCTAGTAGGACATTTGTTGCTACATGGCATGTGTTGCTAAGTGACATTTGTTTCTCCAGAATCTAAATCATATCACTTCTAATTCATCCCTCCCCCTTACACACAAGCAAGTATAACAGGATGCCCCCCACCCCCCTCCCCTTACACACAAGCAACAAAAAAGCAACAGGATAATTTATGACAGGTACAAATGTGGGTCAACATCTTTAATTACACTGTAAGGTAGTGCAAGGTTTGCAGAGGTTAACCAAAGCTATTCTAGAAACACTTGACTTACAGATACTGAAATAGCTCTTTCAGGGTCATTCATTTTTTTGGTCACACTATAGGTGGAGGGGGGGGGGGGGGGGGGGGTAAGCCAGGTAATAAGAAAGTCAGGTGATAAGAGTCTGGTGCTAAGAGAGTCAGGTTATTGGAGAGTCTGGTTATTGGAGAGTCAGGTTATTGGAGAGTCAGGTGATAAGAGTCAGGTGACAAGAGAGTCAGGTTATTGGAGAGTCAGGTTATTGGAGAGTCAGGTGATAAGAGTCAGGTGACAAGAGAGTCAGGTTATTGGAGAGTCAGGTTATTGGAGAGTCAGGTGATAAGAGTCAGGTGACAAGAGAGTCAGGTTATTGGAGATTCAGGTTATTGGAGAGTCTGGTGCTAAGAGAGTCAGGTTATTGGAGAGTCAGGTTATTGGAGATTCAGGTTATTGGAGAGTCAGGTGATAAGAGTCAGGTGACAAGAGAGTCAGGTTATTGGAGATTCAGGTTATAGGAGAGTCAGGTGATAAGAGTCAGGTGACAAGAGAGTCAGGTTATTGGAGATTCAGGTTATTGGAGAGTCTGGTGCTAAGAGTCAGGTGACAAGAGAGTCAGGTTATTGGAGATTCAGGTTATTGGAGAGTCTGGTGCTAAGAGAGTCAGGTTATTGGAGAGTCAGGTTATTGGAGATTCAGGTTATTGGAGAGTCAGGTGATAAGAGTCAGGTGACAAGAGAGTCAGGTTATTGGAGATTCAGGTTATAGGAGAGCCATGAGCCAGGTGAGTCAAGGACAACAACTTGAGACATAGCCAATAAAGCTATTTTTGGGCATGTCCTTGATAGGGTGGAGTGCAAGCTATGGCTGTAAGTGTGACAACTATGGCTGTAAGTGTGACAACTATGGCTGTAAGTGTGACAACTATGGCTGTAAGTGTGACACCTATGGCTGTAAGTGTGACAACTATGGCTGTAAGTGTGACAACTATGGCTGTAAGTGTGACAACTATGGCTGTAAGTGTGACAACTGTGGTTGTAAGTGTGACGACTATGGCTGTAAGTGTGACACCTATGGCTGTAAGTGTGACGACTATGGCTGTAAGTGTGACAACTATGGATGTAAGTGTGACAACTATGGCTGTAAAGTGTGACAGCTATGGTTGTAAGTGTGACAACTATGGCTGTAAGTGTGACGACTATGGCTGTAAGTGTGACACCTATGGCTGTAGGTGTGACAACTAAGGCTGTAAGTGTGACATCTATGGCTGTAAGTGTGACAACTATGGTTGTATGTGTGACAACTTCTGACAACTATGACTATGTAACTTACTGCGACTATCATCAAGAAGTTGTCGAGAAAGCCAAAGCCGATGAAAGGAAACATCTGGTGCAGCAAAACTGAAAAGACAAGAACAACATGTCAGGTGTAGCCAAAGACTTGAGGTGTAGCCTCACACCTGGGGTGTAGCCTCACACCTGAGGTGTAGACACAGACATGAGGTGTAGCCTCACACCTGGGGTGTAGACACAGACATGAGGTGTAGCCTCACACCTGGGGTGTAGACGCAGACATGAGGTGTAGCCTCACACCTGAGGTGTAGCCTCACACCTGAGGTGTAGACACAGACATGAGGTGTAGCCTCACACCTGGGGTGTAGACGCAGACATGAGGTGTAGCCTCACACCTGGGGTGTAGCCTCACACCTGGGGTGTAGACACAGACATGAGGTGTAGCCTCACACCTGGGGTGTAGCCTCACACCTGGGGTGTAGACGCAGACATGAGGTGTAGCCTCACACCTGAGGTGTAGACGCAGACATGAGGTGTAGCCTCACACCTGAGGTGTAGCCTCACACCTGAGGTGTAGACACAGACATGAGGTGTAGCCTCACACCTGAGGTGTAGACACAGACATGAGGTGTAGCCTCACACCTGGGGTGTAGCCTCACACCTGGGGTGTAGACACAGACATGAGGTGTAGCCTCACACCTGGGGTGTAGCCTCACACCTGGGGTGTAGACGCAGACATGAGGTGTAGCCTCACACCTGGGGTGTAGACGCAGACATGAGGTGTAGCCTCACACCTGAGGTGTAGACGCAGACATGAGGTGTAGCCTCACACCTGGGGTGTAGCCTCACACCTGGGGTGTAGCCTCACACCTGAGGTGTAGACGCAGACATGAGGTGTAGCCTCACACCTGGGGTGTAGCCTCACACATGAGGTGTAGCCTCACACCTGGGGTGTAGACGTAGACATGAGGTGTAGCCTCACACCTGAGGTGTAGACGCAGACATGAGGTGTAGCCTCACACCTGGGGTGTAGACGCAGACATGAGGTGTAGCCTCACACCTGAGGTGTAGACGCAGACATGAGGTGTAGCCTCACACCTGGGGTGTAGCCTCACACCTGGGGTGTAGCCTCACACCTGAGGTGTAGACGCAGACATGAGGTGTAGCCTCACACCTGGGGTGTAGCCTCACACATGAGGTGTAGCCTCACACCTGGGGTGTAGACACAGACATGAGGTGTAGCCTCACACCTGGGGTGTAGCCTCACACCTGAGGTGTAGACGCAGACATGAGGTGTAGCCTCACACCTGGGGTGTAGCCTCACACCTGGGGTGTAGACACAGACATGAGGTGTAGCCTCACACCTGGGGTGTAGCCTCACACCTGGGGTGTAGCCTCACACCTGGGGTGTAGACGCAGACATGAGGTGTAGCCTCACACCTGGGGTGTAGCCTCACACCTGAGGTGTAGCCTCACACCTGGGGTGTAGCCTCACACCTGGGGTGTAGCCTCACACCTGGGGTGTAGCCTCACACCTGGGGTGTAGCCTCACACCTGGGGTGTAGCCTCACACCTGGGGTGTAGCCTCACACCTGGGGTGTAGACGCAGACATGAGGTGTAGCCTCACACCTGGGGTGTAGCCTCACACCTGGGGTGTAGACGCAGACATGAGGTGTAGCCTCACACCTGGGGTGTAGACGCAGACATGAGGTGTAGCCTCACACCTGAGGTGTAGACACACCTGGGGTGTAGCCTCACACCTGGGGTGTAGCCTCACACCTGGGGTGTAGCCTCACACCTGGGGTGTAGCCGCAGACATGAGTTGCAGCTGCATACCTGGTAGGTTAAGAGGAGGTGAGAAGTAGAGAGAAAAGAGAGATAGAAGGAGAGAGAAAGAAGAGAGAGAGAGAGAGACTGACCTTGCTTCAACTGTTGACGTGTTGGTGGCTCTAGCTGAGGATCAACACCTGAAAAATCAAAGTCTTACAGTAAAAATCAAATAACACAAATTTCTTTTTTAAAATCAATCTTACAGTAAACATCAAATAACACAATCAAATTTCTTTTTTAAAATCAGTCTTACAGTAAACATCAAATAACACAATCAAATTTCTTTTTTAAAATCAGTCTTACAGTAAACATCAAATAACACAATCAAATTTCTTTTTTTAAAATCAGTCTTACAGTAAACATCAAATTTTTTAAAAATTACAGTAAATATCAAATATATTTTAAAAAGTCAAAGTCGTATACTAAACATAATTTGTTTTAAAATTCTATCTGCTGATAAACATCATTTTTTTAAAAAAAGGAAAGCTTAAGAAAGATTTCAGTACTTTCACATTCTAATCCTGCTTAAGTAGCTCCAGATTTTCCTCTGCAAAAAAAAATAAACCGGGAGTGATCTCCTCTAACTTTCTCGAATATTCTTATATAACTTGAAATATAGACATGATTTTTAATTACTTAAACTTTTAAAAATAGAATAGAATCTCATAGAAAAAAGAATTGCGCACCAAGCGAACGCCAAAACAAAATGTGCATAATAGTGTGCATTATTAGTACTTTATAAATTTACAGGCATTTTTTTAAAGAAATCGGAAATAGCGTAAATTAGTACTTCCGGTCAACAGAAATTACTCAAAATTTGAGAGAAGGTAGAAAATTAGATCTTTTACTTACATGTGAAATTTCATTTATCTACCTGAAATAGTATTCAAGTTATAGGCTTATGAAAAATTCAAAGTAGAAAAAGTACCACTTCTGGTTATCGGAAATCGCTCAAAAGTTGATCAGGATCTACGATTTTAATACAATACTTATATATGAAATTTCATCAACCTAGCTGTAACGGTATTCAAGTTATCGTGTTTACACACACACACACACACACACAGACACAAGATTGCAAAATTATGTTCTTCCGTATCATGTCAACAGTCTGTGTCTTGAACAGCTCACTCAGCCAGTCTATCAACAAAACAGAAGGCAAGGTCACTCAGCCAGTCTACCAACAAACAGAATGTCTCTCAGTTAGTCTTTTAACAAACAGAAGGTCACTCAGCCAGTCTATCAACAAACAGAAGGTCACTCAGCCAGTCTATCAACAAACAGAAGGTCACTCAGCCAGTCTTTTAACAAACAGAAGGTCTCTCAGTTAGTCTATCAACAAACAGAAAGTGTTTAAAAATTACAAAACCCCACATTTTAAAAAAAAAATCAGTTTATCTGCTACAGTCATTACTTTATCTGCTACAGTCATCACTTTATCTGCTAGAGTCATCACTTTATCTGCTACAGTCATCACTTTATCTGCTACAGTCATCACTTTATCTGCTACAGTCATCACTTTATCTGCTACAGTCATCACTTTATCTGCTACAGTCATCACTTTATCTGCTACAGTCATCACTTTATCTGCTACAGTCATCACTTTATCTGCTACAGTCATTATAGATGGACTGATAGAGCCGAGGGGAGACATCAAGGGTGAGAGAGTTGAGAAGACAGTTGAGGTGAGACAACTGAGGTGAGACAACTGAGGTGAGACAACTGAGGTGAGACAACTGAGGTGAGACAACTGAGGTGAGACAACTGAGGTGAGACAACTGAGGTGAGACAACTGAGGTGAGACAACTGAGGTGAGACAACTGAGGTGAGACAACTGAGGTGAGACAACTGAGGTGAGACAACTGAGGTGAGACAACTGAGGTGAGACAACTGAGGTGAGACAGTTGAGATGAGACAGTTGAGGTGAGACAGTTGAGGTGAGACAACTGAGATGACACAGTTCAGGTGAGACAACTGAGGTGCAACAGTTCAGGTGAGACAACTGAGGTGAGACAACTGAGGTGAGACAACTGAGGTGAGACAACTGAGGTGAGACAACTGAGGTGAGACAACTGAGGTGAGACAACTGAGGTGAGACAACTGAGGTGAGACAACTGAGGTGAGACAGTTGAGATGAGACAGTTGAGGTGAGACAGTTGAGGTGAGACAACTGAGGTGAGACAACTGAGGTGAGACAACTGAGGTGAGACAACTGAGGTGAGACAACTGAGGTGAGACAGTTGAGATGAGACAGTTGAGGTGAGACAGTTGAGGTGAGACAACTGAGATGACACAGTTCAGGTGAGACAACTGAGGTGAGACAGTTCAGGTGAGACAACTGAGGTGAGACAACTGAGGTGAGACAACTGAGGTGAGACAACTGAGGTGAGACAGTTGAGATGAGACAGTTGAGGTGAGACAGTTGAGGTGAGACAACTGAGGTGAGACAACTGAGGTGAGACAACTGAGGTGAGACAACTGAGGTGAGACAACTGAGGTGAGACAGTTGAGATGAGACAGTTGAGGTGAGACAGTTGAGGTGAGACAACTGAGATGACACAGTTCAGGTGAGACAACTGAGGTGAGACAGTTCAGGTGAGACAACTGAGGTGAGACAACTGAGGTGAGACAACTGAGGTGAGACAACTGAGGTGAGACAACTGAGGTGAGACAGTTGAGATGAGACAGTTGAGGTGAGACAGTTGAGGTGAGACAACTGAGGTGAGACAACTGAGGTGAGACAACTGAGGTGAGACAACTGAGGTGAGACAACTGAGGTGAGACAGTTGAGATGAGACAGTTGAGGTGAAACAGTTGAGGTGAGACAACTGAGATGACACAGTTCAGGTGAGACAACTGAGGTGAGACAGTTCAGGTGAGACAACTGAGGTGAGACAACTGAGGTGAGACAACTGAGGTGAGACAGTTGAGATGAGACAGTTGACGTGAGACAACTGAGGTGAGACAACTGAGGTGAGACAACTGAGGTGAGACAACTGAGGTGAGACAACTGAGGTGAGACAACTGAGGTGAGACAACTGAGGTGAGACAACTGAGGTGAGACAACATAGATGAGACAGTTGAGGTGAGACAACTGAGGTGAGACAACTGAGGTGAGACAACTGAGGTGAGACAACTGACAGAGATGAGACAACTGAGGTGAGACAACTGAGGTGAGACAACTGACAGAGATGAGACAACTGAGGTGAGACAACTGAGGTGAGACAACTGAGGTGAGACAACTGAGGTGAGACAACTGAGGTGAGACAACTGAGGTGAGACAACTGAGGTGAGACAACTGAGGTGAGACAACTGACAGAGATGAGACAACTGAGGTGAGACAACTGAGGTGAGACAACTGAGGTGAGACAACTGAGGTGAGACAACTGAGGTGAGACAACTGAGGTGAGACAACTGAGGTGAGACAACTGAGGTGAGACAACTGAGGTGAGACAGTTGAGATGAGACAGTTGAGGTGAGACAACTGAGATGAGACAACATAGATGAGACAGCTGAATTGAGACAGCAAGGGTGAGACAGTTGACGTGATACAGCTGAGGTGAGACAGTTTTGAGACAGGTGAAATGAGACAGTTGGAGACAATGTGTCAAGAGCATGCCATTAAAAGAATATTGTAGCAATTGAGCTTAAAGATCTGGCTAATGAACAAACTCACCAGGCACAGAAGTGTCATCTCCATGGAATCTGGCCAACTCAGCATACAGATGTTTTCTTTCAGCACTGTTTAAAGAATAGACAAACTGCTTAGCTATCTCTGCGTCTGTGATTGGTCCTTCAATATCATACACATTATTTATCCTTGTAGGAGGCACTCGTGGCTTGGTATGCTTCTTGCGTCTAATGGATTGTAGAATTAATCCACAATTTTGCTCAGCAAAGGAATTCCTAATTTTTAGGAAGGGCCTTTGTGAATAAGAATGATTTAAGCTTTGGGCTAAAGAAGTATGTTGCAAACATACAGAAGAAAATCTTCCACTAAATGCTAAAGTAAGTGGCTTAGTTGTCATGCTGTTTGAAGTAGCATAGGCCCTACAGTTAGTTGTATGATGATGTGAAAGTTCTAACCACTTGTTGGAAATTGGATTTTTGAATCTCTGAACATTTGGAATGTATTGTCTCATAAAGCATACTCTCAGCTGACACTGAGCTAATCCACTAGAAATCACCACCGGCCACCTAAGCATGTAACATAAATTGGCCGTCATTTTCTAAAAATAACAGAGTAGATTTTGTATTACAATGTTATGAACACAAAGTTATTATAAAATTACAGGAAGAGCACTTGCGTCATGAAATAACTTATTCAAAAATTGACCAAATTTAATATTGAACCCAAACTACACTTTCCACATAATGGTGGTCCAAGAGGCTGAAAGGTCAAACTGTAATAGTCTAGTTCAGTTGGTAAAGGTTTAGCTGTAAATGTCTCACTGTAATAGGTCTAGTTATAATACTAAGTAATTGGACATAGAGTCATGGTCTAGTTTTAATTATTTCACACATGGAAAACAATCCACACAGGTTTTAATTTTTTAGTTAGTAGTCAAAGTTACAAGATCTACAACTACAAGACTCAAAGGTACAAGATCTACAACTACAAGACTCAAAGGTACAAGATCTACAACTACAAGACTCAAAGGTACAAGATCTACAACTACAAGACTCAAAGGTACAAGATCTACAACTACAAGATCTACAACTACAAGACTCAAAGGTACAAGATCTACAACTACAAGACTCAAAGGTACAAGATCTACAACTACAAGACTCAAAGGTACAAGATCTACAACTACAAGACTCAAAGGTACAAGATCTACAACTACAAGATCTACAACTACAAGACTCAAAGGTACAAGATCTACAACTACAAGACTCAAGGGTACAAGATCTACAACTACAAGACTCAAAGGTACAAGATCTACAACTACAAGATCTACAAGAAAGGTGTTGCATTTCTATTTTTAAAACTTCCTATTTTTTCTGAACTAGACATACTGATGATTTGTCAACTTCCCCATCTTTTGTTGACTTAAAATATCGCAGTGTTCAAAACCACCCGAAATATTACTGATGATAGATCTCCTTTCTTTTGTGTGGAACACCAAGGCCTCCTGATTTATCGTCTTTAAACATCACCCTACTCAAAGCTGCTGCCACCGTAAATATGAGTTGTTTCAAAAAAAAAAAATTTGAATTATTACAGGAGCTGCTGATTTGTAATTGAAACTACTCAATAAAAAATAAATTACACTTTTTAAATTGCTTTTTCATACTAATACGCTTTCTACAAGTAAAACAATTTCTCTCACTGACAAGATCATCTGAACTCACAATGACCCCAAGCATGCTTGTCAAATTCCTGTAACATGAGCGGACTAGATTTTAAAAAATATTCTCGATAACTATATGTCACCCAACGACCAAGACGGGATTTTTCTCCCGCTGACAAGAAAACAAGAGCTGGTGATCAAAATAATAACACGAGTATTATCTCTTACTCTTACTTTACTAATTACTGAGTTTACTTAGAGTTTACTATCTTGCAGCCTCACTCTTCTAGGCTACTTTAAGAACTCTAAGCTAGACTGACTAGGCTCTAGATTTGTAGATTAATCTAGATCTAGACCTATGTATCTTAACAAAATTATCTAGTTTACAGTACAGTACAGTCTAAACTAAAACAAAACACTAGGCCTACACACATTTTTTTTTCTAATTTTATGGTATTGGTAGCGTTATTGATAAAAATTTCTGGTAATCTATCGTTTTAGGCACATAAAATCGACCGAGACTAGTAATGTGAAAATGAGGTGACTCTTAAATTCTATTAATTATTTCACATTTTTAGAGGGATTTTTGTTTTTAAAGTTACAAAAATGTTTAAAAGTTTCTTTAATGTACATGTTTTTAAACAATGGGGTCATCCATAAATGACGTCACGCCTTTTTATGACTATTTTCACCTCCCCCTCCCCTCCGTCACACGTCATCACAAAAAAGCCAGACTAAAACTCGCTTTCTAACATTGCTTTTTTATAATGCAAAAGTGTGACATCACACAATCTGAACCATCCCCCTCCCCCTCATCACACACCGTCACAAAATTACGGACCCCCCAACCCCCTACGAGTGTGACATCATTTATGGACGACCTATTAATTATTTAATATTTAACATTATTATTTAGCCATTGATTTTGGTTTATTATTCAGTTATCTCTCATATTTGACACAAATATAATATATATCACAATAGGCCCTATATATATACTAATATATAGTATATAGTAATATATATATATAAATATATATATATATATATATATATTATATATATATTATAGCCTAGGCCTACTCAATATACTTCTATTAATAGTCGATCTCCTTACCAAAACCGGAAGTCAGAACCTGACCCTGAAACGTCATGCTCTTTTAGTTTTCGCATTTTAAGTGTTTTTGGGGGGTCCTATATACAAAAAATGAAAAAACTGCTAATCTAGCAATATCTCATCACTATTTTAATGCGAAATGCTAAGGAAATGGATACTATGGCTTAAATGCCAGAAACATTTGCGAGATATGTAGTAATAATTAATACAAGCATTTCTTATGGAGCACTCTCATTAGGAACTGAACTGCAACGAAAAACGACCGACCACCGGGCATCAGCGCTCGACAGCTCCTAGATAAATATATATTTGAGATATTTACCATGATTAATTACAATGATGCTGCTTCCCTTCTTCCAAAATCCAATTCCCCATAGAAATACCATGCCGCTGCTATTTTTAGCAACGTTACGCCATTGTTACGCTAGTTGTCAGATAGAAACAACTAATTTTTGTTTTTTGCGGAATGCACTGTTAAGTCTAGTATTTTAATTATAATTCAGTTTTAGCATGTGCAGAAATTGTGGGCATTATTATTGTATTAAAGTATTAGTAATTTTATAAGTATATTGATTTTTTTCTTCACTGCAAGCCAAGTAGGCCAACTGCACTGTTAGTTTCATTGAACATAATTCGTGACCGGTCATTAACCTTGATAATATTAATACTTCGTGGCCTACCCGACTGTATAATTTATATGAAATTATATGTAGTTTTTAATTAGGCCTTAGTATTGTATTTTAAACAATGCTCATTGTGAGCCTTTTTGTGCTAGATCAAATTAGGCCTACTGGCAATTTTTTTTTATTTTTAGACTTGGTCAACCTCGTTAATGCTGTTGTGTTAGTTAAAAATATAGGAATTGTGTGTAAATTTTACGCAGTTACTCAGTTACTACGTAGAATGATATCGATAAATGAAGTAGTAATTATTTCCTTTTAGTTTTAGAAATCTTTTGATACAAAATGTCTAATATTTTTTTTCCAATACATCGTGGTGTGTGGCAGAGTAAACAGAACGGTGCGGTAGGTGACCTAGAATCTCCGAGTTCGAATCCGACGTAAATCAGTTGTGCTTTATTTTATTGTTTCACATGGGAAATGCCACGAGCGGTTTTATTTTCTTTCTTTTTCAAAAAAATATTTTTGAACGAAATAATATTTTATAAAATAATTATTAAAAATTTTCCAAACATCGTCGCTCGCATCGCTCGCGAGAACGACTGCTTACATTTTCTTGTCTGCGGGAGAAAAATGTTGACACGGTCGAGGGTTCACCGTGAGTTCAGCAGGCCTACCATACATACGTCACAGCATTAACTATTGCTGTTAGAGATCGTCGGTGGGCAATCCCAACCTTCCCCTCATAAACCAAGCAAATTGTAAATCAACTTAGGGTCATTTTAAGTTCACGCAAGCTTACAGGACTGTAGATTTACTACGCATAGCTGGTAAAAAAAAAAAAAAAAAAACTTCGCCTAACCTAATGCTACTACAGAAGAGAATATTAATTATAGAGTATTTAGTTTTAAAGTTAAAAAAAGTTCATTTATCATCTTACCTAATAATACTGTATTGTCGTTACAGTTAGAAGGACTAGATCTAGATTTCTGTCAGATCTATTTTTAGTTTTGGATATTAATTTTATTGTCATCTTCATGGGTATTGATTGTTCAATTCATCCTGGAATGCCTAATGTCTTAAATTGTACATTGTACATAGAATTTATAATAAATATGTCTGATATTTCCTTAATAAACATAATGAATATAAAGTTTTATTTCTAACAAAATGTTTTGGTTTTTTTTGGTAACTAAAATACCCAATGTTGTCGTAATTGCTATGACATCATGCTACGAATGGAAAACACAAACCAACGTAACTTTTTTATATCTTTTGATGGCGAAAAAGAGTTTAACATTTTAAGTTGTTAATAGTTCATTTTGTTTTTGTTTGTTTTCTCGGCCCCTAATTAAGCTAGACCATTAAATTTGGTCTCAAATTAACCAGTAAGTGATATGGTTTGTAATGATATATTTGATAAGTGACAGAAAATTTTAATTAAAAAATTGTAATAAGACAACCTATCTATTAATTATTAAAATTAAAGCATTAACTGTTAACAACGTGACAATGAGGCAACTTTTTCGCACATCACTAGCCTCGGTAATTTTACGCACCTAAACTAAAACGATAGATTTTTAAACAAATAGAGAGTCTAGAGTGTAGTAAAAAATAGTAGTTAGTAGATTACCAAATTTCTCTCCTCTGTTCACTTTTGACTTACTCTTTCACTTTCTTTAGGTAAAAAAATTATATTTTAATTTTATAATAATTTTATTAATTAGGCCTATATTTAATATTTGTTTCCAAAGGCCAAAGGTGCTTTGTAATTTGTGCGCTCATTTTCTGACATTATGAAATAACGGAATGTTAGCACAGCTTTTTAACAGAATCAGAATTATTTTTATCTATTGTTTGTCCTTCTCCGTCCCTCCCACTCAAAAGTAGAAAATCCAGGAATTTCAATGTTGATTTAGTCAAAGCAGTAAAGAATGTTACGGCTAGATTGAAGTTCTTTTCGTGTAAAAGATAGAAAATGTCTAAGCTATTGGCTTGGCTAAAATACGATCAGTCAAAAGATAGTAATACTTTGGTGTATTGTTAAATTGCGAAACACAAAACTGCAAGGCAGTAAACTGTGAGAGGGGCGCGAAAACGGTCTGTCACGTGATATTTGTATCTCGAATACCGGTATTAAGAATAATTAATACTAATCCTGTTGAACTACGAACCGTCGCGCCTACACCGTGACTGGCTGTTTGCCAATGAATATGATACATTCATTGTAATAAACTTAGCTAAAGATAGAGATAAATTTAATTATTTTTATAAGCTTTTATTTAGGTCGACATAGATCTAAATAGGGGTTGTCCATAAATGACGTCACACTCGTAGGGGGAGGGGGTTCGTAATTTTGTGACGGTGAGTGTTGAGGGAGAGGGGGGGGGGGGGTTCAGATGGTGTGACGTCACTTTTTTTGCATTATAATAAAGTAATGTTAGAAAACGAGTTTTAGCCGTTATTTTGAGTTTTAGAAAACGGTTTTAACAAATTGTAATAGGAATTGATCAAAATACTCTATGTATGTTGACTGAGTTCTGACAATGTTTTGGAAAAATATCGATGTTTTAAGAAAAATTCATCGGCAATTTTGAGGGGGGGGTGTAGGCTGAAGTGTGATGTCATTTTAAAAGGGGGGGGGTCTCGCTTTTTGTGACGACGTGTGACGGAGGGGAGGTAAAAATCGTAAAAAAGGCGTGACGTCATTTATGGATGACATCATATCTGTAGGTTTGTGGCAAATCCTGTAATTATGTAACTCAATTTTGACCAACTTCTAATATAGGGTTTTCGTTCACATGACAACGTAAGAATATCTCATATAATCTATTTAGACCTAGGCCTACACAGTAAAGTAATTAAAAATCAATAGAAAGACCACTACTACAACCAGTAGGCCACGCTGTCCCATTGGTTAAGTGTAATTTTAATAGCGTGGTTGAAAATACACAATGTTGATGGGTAGGGCAGAGGAAAGGCCCACGTGAAAAAAAACAACCTTACAGAACATAAACATAAAGATGGGCCTAAATTTTTGTTATAATTAATTTCGAAAAATAGACTTTGTGTGTGTGTGGGGAGGGGTTGGGTCCATGCGGGCATCCGCATGTTACTTTTAACATCGTAGTGCCTACATTCTAAAACAAACATAAAATTAGTATGTAAAAAAGTAAAATTAAGACGACCGTACGCACAACGTGTAAATACAGTATTTAAATCTAACGTAACATTATTGTTACACTTTCTGAAACCCTCCTACGGAATTTCCAGAGTGTGACGTCATTTATCATGGACGACCCTAAAATAAAAATAGCACCACTTTGGTAAGCGACTGATGAAGTAAACACTAAAAAGTAAACAGAAATATAAGTATACCCAAGGGGGCCTTTTGTGACTTATTTATCTTATAAATGCTAATATTAATTATTACATCCAACGAGTATAGAGACTATATAGATCTTTTGATTAGAGGAGGCCTTTTGAAAAAACATTTCGCAAAACACTAGCTCCAAAATAAATGTACAGAGCAGTCGCCTTTTGCCTAAGAGACGGAACATCCGGGTGGTTAAATCGGCATCGATACTTCTGGTAGCCTAAAGTCTAAAACGTGATTGTACTGTCACTATTGGAGTAATTTATTTTTTTGTTGATTTAATATTTGCTTATTATTATTAGGAGAATTTAAATTGTTTAAGTTATTGAATTTTTAACAGAAATGTATGTTTAACTGAAATGCGCAGCAACATCGGCTAATTTAATTTAAACAAAAAGTAGGCCTATAGATACTAGAACTAGAGTCTAATAATTATTAAATCATCTGTGTATTTTTTTGCTTTGAGCTTCGATTACTAGGTAATCTAGATCTAGTCTTGGTTCGATACCGAGAGTCGCAAGTCTTGCGTTGTTGATAAAACTATCATCGCTAGAAACTTGTTCGTCCTTTTAAAAATTGTTTATTTAATGACCGTTCGTTTTCAATAACAACAAAGATCTAGACCTAGGTCTATAACCCTCAGGTCAAATATTAAGATTAATTAAATTTTATTAGGCCTAATGCTAAATCATCTAGATCTAGTCTAGAATCTAGATTCTAGGACGTCTAGAACTCTAACTCTAGATCTAGAATCTAGATCTAGGTAGAAATTGAAAAAGTCATAGGTGCTCATACATAGGCTAAGGCCTAATCTAATAAAATAAAAAGGGTAATCTATCATTTTAGGTACGTAAAATCGCCTGCGATTAGTAATGTGAAGAATAGGCGACTCCTTAAATTTTAATAATTATTTCACATTTTGATTTATGTTTTGAAAAATACAAAAATGGGTAATCTATCGTTTTGGGTATGTAAAATCGCCCGCGACTTGTAATGTGAAAATAATATATTTTAGTCAATCTCCTTACCAAAACCGGAAGTCAGAACCTGACCCTGAAACGTCATGCTCTTTTTGTTTTTGCATTTTAAGTGTTTTTTTTTTTTGGGGGGGGGGGGGGGGGGGTCCTATATACAAAAAATGAAAAAAAACTGCTAATCTCGCAATATCTCATCATTATTTTTATGCGAAATGCTAAGGAAATGGATACTATGGCTTAAATGCCAGAAAAATTTGCGAGATATGTAGTTATAATTAATACAAGCATTTCTTGTGGAGCACTATCAGGAGAAAGTGAACTGCAACGAAAAACGACAGACCACCGGGCAACAGCGCTCGACAGATCCTAGATAAACATATATTTGAGATATTTACCATGATTAATTACAACGAGCCGGCCCTCGGCATAACATACGCCGCTATTTAGTTGTTGATTTTTCTACTTTTCAGTAATTCATAATTTGTGAATTCGACAGTACCAACGCTGACACTGAAAATATTTCTTTAAAACACTATAAGTAGCGCATTAAGGACCATAAACCCCCCCCCCCCCCCCAACGTTTAAAATCGTTTCAAACTAAATTATCTACCCCTAATAGCCGTCACTAAACCCGACTCCACGAAGGTAAACATAGAGTGAACCACAGCTCACAAAGACCATGTAGGGGTGGGGATGGTAGGGAGCGCGTTAACAGCTTGTTTTCTAGCGTCTCCCAGAAGAGAATTATATATATAGATGATGCTGCTTCCCTTCTTCCAAAATCCAATTCCCCATAGAAATACCATGCATCTGCTATTTTTAGTAACATTACGTCATTGTTACGCTAGTTGTCAGATAGCAACAACTAATTTTTGTTTTTTGCGGAATGCACTGTTAAGTCTAGTATTTTAATTATAATTCAGTTGTAGCATGTGCAGAAATTGTGGGTATTATTATTGTATTAAAGTATTAGTAGGCCTAATTTTGTAAGTATATTGATTTTTTTTCTTCACTGCAACCCAAGTAGGCCAACTGCACTGTTAGTTTCATTGAACATAATTATTAATACTTCGTGGCCTACCCGACTGTATAATTTATATGAAATTATATGTAGTTTTTAATTAGGCCTTAGTATTGTATTTTAAACAATGCTCATTCCGAGCCTTTTTTGTGCTAGATCTAATTAGGCCTACTGGCAATTTTTTTTAATTTTTAGACTTGGTCAACCTCGTTAATGCTGTTGTGTTAGTTAAAAATATAGGAATTGTGTGTAAAATTTACTCAGTTACAACGTAGAATGATATCAATAAATGAAGTAGTATTTATGTCTAATATTTTATTTTCCATTACATCGTGGTGTGTGGCAGAGTAAACAGAACGGTGCGGTAGGTGACCTAGAATCTTCGAGTTCGAATCCGACGTAAATCAGTTGTGCTTTATTTTATTTTATTGTTTCACATAGGAAATGCCACGAGCTGTTTTATTTTCTTTCTTTTTTTAAAATATTTTTTTAATCGAAATAATATTTTATAAAATAATTATTCAAGATTTTCCAAACATCGTCGCTCGCATTGCTCGCGAGATCGACTGCTTACATTTTCTTGTCTGCGGGAGAAAAATGTTGACACGGTCGAGGGTTCACCGTGAGCTCAGCAGGCCTACCATAGCATACGTCACAGCATTAACGATTGCTGTTAGAGATCGTCGGTGGGCAAACCCACCCCTCCCCTCATAAATCAAGCAAATTGTAAAACAACTAAGGGTCATTTTAAGTTCACACAAGCTTACAGGACTGTAGATATACTACAAATAGCTGGTAAAAAAAAAAATGTAAAAGGAAACTTCGCCTTACCTAATATGCTACTACAGAAGGGAATATTAATTATAGAGTATTTAATTTTAAAGTTTAAAAAAAAAGTTGTTTTAGCATCTTACGTAATACTGTATTGTCTTTACAGTTTGACTAGATCTAGATTTCTGTCAGATCTATTTTTAGTTTTGGATATTAATTTTATTATCATCTTCATGGGTATTGATTGTTCAATTCATCATGGAAGGCCTAATGTCTTGAATTGTACATTGTACATAGAATTTATAATACATATGTCTGATATTTCCTTAATAAACATAGGCCTAATGAATATTGAGTTTTATTTCTAACAAGATGTTTTGGTTTTTTTTGGTAACTAAAATACCCAATGTTGTCGTAATTGCTATGACATCATGCTACGAATGGAAAACACAAACCAACGTAACTTTTTGACCTCTTTTGAGGGCGAAAAAGAGTTTTGCATTTTAAGAAGTTAATCGGTCATTTTGTTTTTGTTTGTTTTCTCTGCCCCTAATTAAGCTAGACCATTAACTTTGGTCTCAAATTAACCAGTAAGTGATATGGTTTGTAATGATATATGATAAGTGACAGAAAATTTTAATTGAAGAATTTAGGCCTAATAATTTCTGCTAATATATTTCACATTTTGAGGATTTATGTTTTTTAAAATACTATCTTGTTTCCTTGTTTCATTTATGTACCTGTTTTTAAACAATTGTATTAAAACTTTTCAGTAATAAATGAAGACTAGCGATGTTTCCAACAGATGCAACCATGCTCATTTACTATAGCAGCCATCTTGTTTACTTTTTTTTATTGTAAACTTATACCACAAGATTCAGGGGAAGCCACTCTATCTTACAGAGGGCCGCTTTTTATATAGCAAATCCTGCTCGTAAACACTGCATTTTAAAGTTAATTTCTTGCCTATATTGATATATTTAGCCATTGATTTAGGTGTATTTATTTATTTATCTATATTTGACACAAATATATCACAATATAGGCCTACTTCTATTAAAGCCTTGACAATGAGGTAGCTTTTTCGTACATTTCAAGCCGCGGGCGATTTTACGTACCCAAAACGATAGATTACCATAAAAAGTAATATTGCCCTATTTTTAATAATAAGTTAGATCTACTGCGGTAAACAAAGTTGAAAGTAAGACTAATTTAAAATTTTTGGTAATCTATCTGTTTTCATCAGATGCAACCATGCTCATTTACTATAGCAGCCATCTTGTTTAAGTTTTATTTTGATAAATTTACAGCGGAAGATTCAGGGGAAGCCACTCTATTTTACAAATGGCTGATTTTTATATTGCAAATCTTGCTCGCAAACACTGCTGTTTAAAGTTAATTTCTGGCTTTACTGATATATTTAGCCATTGATTTTGGTTTATTATTCATTTATCTATAATATTTGACACAAATATATCACAATATACTTGTATTAAAGTTATTAAAGCCTTGAAAATAAGGTAACTTTTTCATACATTACTAGCCGCGAGCGATTTTATGTACCTAAAACGATAGATTACCTAATTTTTTAATTACCTTTAGTTTATTATAGTATTACTTTACTTAGGCTACTTATTTTTAGTATTAAAGCCTACTAGTACTATAGGCCTAGTAGATCTAATAGTAATGACTTAAACCCTAAAAAAATGGCAATTTTTCGCCAGTTTGACAACCTACTAAGATCAACAATAAATCAGTCTCTCTTCAGCTTCAGACTGCATATAGTCACAATTTACTACATTTTCTTATTAAATTTGTAACTAAAATTTTCTGTCACTTATCATATAGGTCTCAGCCTATCATTACAAACCATATCACCTACTGGTTAATTTGAGACCAAATTTAATGGTCTAGCTTAATTAGGGGCAGAGAAAAAAAAACAAAATGACCTAATAACTTCTTAAAATGCAAAACTCTTTTTCACCATCAAAAAAGGTCAAAAAGTTACGTTGGTTTGTGTTTACTATTCTTATCATGATGTCATGGCAATTACGACAACATTGGCTATTTTTCTTACCAAAAAAAAAACCAAAACATCTTGTTAGAAATAAAACTTTATATTCAATATGTTTATTAAGGAAATATCAGACATATTTATTATAAATTCTACATACAATTTGAGACATTAGGCCTTAAGCCTACTTGATTAATTGAACAATCAATACCCATAAAGTTGATAAAATTAATATCCAAAACAAAAAATAGATGTGACAGAAATCTAGATCTAGTTCTTGTAACTGTACTGTAAAGACAATACAGTATTAGGTAAGATGATAAATCTACTTTTTTTTTAAACTTTAAAATAAATACTATAATTATTTTTCTCTTCTGTAGTAGCAAAGTTTTAAAAAAATTTTTTTTCCAGCTATGCGTAGTAAATCTATAGTCCTGTAAGCTTGCATGAACTTAAAATGACCCTAAGTATGCCTGTTTTACAATTTGCTTGGTTTATGTTTTACAATTTGCTTGGTTTATGAGGGGAGGGGTGGGATTGACCACAGACGATCTCTAACAGCAATCGTTAATGCTGTGACATATGCTATAATAGGCCTTCTGAACTACGGTGAACCCTCGACCTTGTCAACATTTTTTTCCGCAGACAAGAAAATGTAAGCAGTCGATCTCGCGTGTGACGATGTTTAGAAAATCTTGAATAATTATTTTATAATATATTATTTTGATCAAGAAAATATTTTTAAAAAAGAAACAAAACCACTCGTGGCGTTTCCTATGTGAGACAACCGATTTACTTCGGATTCGAACTCGGAGATTCTAGGTCACCTACCGCATTGTTCTGTTTACTCTGCCACACCACGGTGTATTGGTAATAAAATATTAGACAGTTTGTTCAAAAGACGGCTGAAAGGAAATAAATACTACTTCACTTATTGATATCGTTCTACGTAGTAACTGCATACATTTTACACAATTCGTACATTTTAACTAACACAATAGCATTAACGTGGTTGACCAAGTCTAAAAATAAAAAATTTCCAGTAGGCCTAATAAGCTCAAGCACAAAAAAGGCTCGGAATGAGCATTATTTAAAATACAATACTAAGGTGTAATTAAAAACTACATATAATTTCATATAAATTATATAGACGGGTATTTATAAGGTTAACAGTTAATTCCGCAAAAAAAAACAAAAATTAGTTGTTTCTATCTGACAACTAGTGTAACAATGGCATAATGTTACTAAAAATAGGGGAATTGGATTTTGGAAAAAGTTAACAGCATTTATGTAATTAATCATTGTAAATATCTCAAATATATATTAATGTAGGATCTGTCGAGCGCTTTTGCTCGGTGGTCGCTTTTGTTGCAGTTCAGTTTTTCCTGAAAGTGCTCCATAGGAAATGCTTGTATTAATTAGAACTACATATCGCGCTAATTTTTCTGGCATTTTAAGGCATAGTATCCATTTCCTTAGCATCTCGTATTAAAATAATGAAGAGATTTTGCGAGATTAGCAGTTTTTTCATTTGTTATATAGAGCACCCCTAAAAAACTAAAGCTTCGATTTAAAAAAGGAGCGTGACGTTTCAAAGTCAGGTTCTGACTTCCGGTTTTGGTAACGAGACCAACTACAATTTACCCAATTTTCAATTTAAACGTGACCACTGAATGATAGACTTCCATATTTCATCCATTAGGCACTAATTTTGAAGTTTTTAGTTGGTTTTACTTCATTTAATATTTGTCACTCACTGCCATGCACAACACACCTCTCCATGACAACACTTCTTACGTTTGAAGCTAAAGAAAACCATAAATCCGGTTAGACTTTTTACCGAGAGTTCCTCACTAGTGATCATCAAATAGTGGTCACATGGTTTTTAAAAAATGAATAAATTTGTTTGTCATTCAAAAGCCATGTTTTATAAAAAAAAAGTGGTTAGCAATATTTGATTTCTTTTTACATAGACTGATAAACCTAATAGTTCTTCAGACTTCAATTTTTGTACTCCTCAGGTTGATATTTGAAAAGTTCTAGTATTATTAATGAAACCAACTTTTAAATTTAGCCTTCATTCTCCAATGGAAAATTTTTAAATGCTTTTCTGGCATATATAGATAGCCCTGCCACCTATATTTTGTTGTTATAATGTGAAAACACAGCCATTTTGCTCGTGGTAAACATTTTAAAAAGTAATTCGTAGAAGGTCACTGGAATTTGGCAGAAAAATCATGGGAAGTCATGCGTCCGGTCCAGACGTTGTTAGCAACTGACCACGCCTCCAAATTAGCTAGTAATACTAGCATATAGGTAGTAGCTTCTTAGTTGGCGCTTGAATTACAAAAATCCAATTATAGTATACCCTAAGGCAACTAAAAATTTGAAATTATAGACTCGAGTGAGACTAGACTTAAAAAGACTAGAGTCATCTAGTGATAAACTTACTTGTTTGAACACATTTATTTAATGCCGTAGTAGGTAGAGGATAGCTTATCTTTGAAAAAAACTATTAAAAGTAGGCTGTCGTATTAAATTTTATTAGGGCCTACAGACCCATTATTAAATTGTTTTTAAAAATTATCTCCTAATAGACATATAACTAGTATAACTATAGCAAAACAAAAAAATTAAAGCCCAAACTTCTGATTTAAAGTGTGAAATAGTGCGATTTAAATAAAGGAAGTAGGCTAGGCTAACATTTAGTTCATTATTTTTTATATGGCCGCCAAACATTATTTCAATATTTGCTGTCACCTGAGTTAAAAATGTATGTTATGGTTTTCAGTAAAATGTCTGACATCAAAGATGAAAAGAAAGATGCTGAAGAGAAAGTATATGGTGGCATTGAAGGTCCAAACTCCCAATATGTCAAACTGATATCTTCAGACGGACATGAGTTTATTGTAAAGAGAGATCATGCTTTAACATCTGGAACCATTAAAGCAATGTTAAGTGGTCCTGGTAAGTTAAAGGTTTATTTTCAATTTCTTGTGGAGGTAAATGTACATTTGAGTGTGTCCTGAGTGTTCAAATGAGTTATGACACATTTTAAAATATGCTTTGGTGAACACTTGAGTGCTTCCTAACCAACATCTTCATATTTTGTGTTCTGTTGTGTTTGTTTAAATTTTTGTTGACTGATATCATTTACCTAGCCTAATTGTAAATAGTTAGCAAAAATTATATTACGGGCTGCTTCAAAATATTTATTGGATAATTTCTTTTTCAGGTCAATTTTCAGAGCATGAGAACAATGAAATAAACTTTAGAGAAATTCCGTGAGTCTTTTTTTGTAGTTAACATCACCAGCATCATGTAACAGTTGTTTGATTAGACATTTTGTTAGAGACCCAACCGCTCTACGTTGTTTTCTTCTTGTTACAGGTCTCATGTCCTCCAGAAAGTGTGCATGTATTTTACCTATAAAGTCAGGTACACAAATTCTTCAACTGAAATTCCAGAGTTTCCAATTGCCCCTGAAATTGCGCTGGAATTACTAATGGCTGCCAACTTTCTTGACTGTTAGTGACATAGTTTTCAACCCATCATCTAGCGTGAAGATATTAAAAGCTATTATAAAATACTATTTATAAATTTTCTGGGCTTATAGAAAAATGTAGAGTGGAAGTCTAAGGGTTATTTCTGTTAGAAATGTTTAGGTAAATGGCTGCTACATTAATCAAACATTAGCTTGTCTTTACTTTATGATGTAATGTAGAGTTTTTATTTCTAAAGCTTTTAGAATTTTGTTAATAAAAGCTGGTGAAACACACAGCTAGATGAAACCCTCAAATTGATAAATTGCACCGGTTTCATGTGCAAGCATGATACAAAGTATTTTTTTTTTGAGTCATTTTGTTTTTAGAAATGTCAAATTGTTTTCTCATCTGTTGTGGTTTCTGTTTTTTCTTGGAATTAAAAATATATTTTTCTTGGAGGAAGATTCGGAAGTGAATTATTTAATTATTTAAAAGAACTATTTTCAAAGTTTTGTAAAAACTTTAAAAAGTGTAACTCATGTGTGAACAACATCTGTTTGTCTAACCCAGCTGTGGAGCTTTATGTGATGTAAGGCTCGTAAAATGGCTGACATTATAACATGACTGAATGACTTGTTTTACAGTTCAGTTGTGTTCTACTTCACACCCAAGTGTAAATGCTAAACGGGGACAGCTACAGTACAAAATAAGTTTGGTTTCCTTTACTCTAGCTGTTTCTACTGGTTCTCAGTAAATGTGGTTTGCCTATTGGTTTCATATTTGTTAGCCATCCTGAATTTGTGTTGAGTTTCACAGACTTCTTCAGTTGACTGAATTTTAGTGTGCATTAGTGTTTGGTGGACAGACTGGACAATACTTCTGGTACTTAATCAAAGAAAATGATGCAGCAGGCTTTAAACTTGTAAACTGTAATGTTTTAAGCTTCTAAAGGAATGAGTTGTTTGTTTACAAAGTTTACGTTTGATTGTATTGACCGATGGTATCTAGTAGTTTATCAAGTACAAACAAAGAATGTTCTAAACTCATAGGACAGAAAACTGACAGAACACATGAATGTTTTTTGTAATATTTTATTACTGCAATAAACATTGCACCATTATGTGTCTAATATGAAACTAAAAATTTTTAGATAAAAATTCACGATTGTTTTCTTTTTTTTTTGTCTGGTCTTGTGTGATTGGGGTGGGTGGGTAGCTGTGAATGTTGAGAAACAGAATTTTCAGGTTTATTCTGATACAAAATAGATCTATTAAAGTATCTAAATCAGAGTACTAATATAATTTTACAACCATATAAAGAAGTATTACTATGAATTATAATCAATTTTTTCCTTATAAAGAATATAAGAACTAACCAGTTAAGACTATTTCTATAACTATAAGATATTTATTTATTTAATAATCACTCTAATATATTACTAGTATTGAAATGAATTTTTTAAAACAAAGTTTGTAATGTTTTGGCAAAAAAAGTTAATTGTGTTAACAATATACTTGGTATTAAATAATATTAACACCATTTTGAGAGTGCTCTGCATAGAACAGCTCTACTAATCTGTCTTCAAGTACCACTACTACAATAGTTGCTCTGTCTCAGGCTTAACCAGAATGTATGGGCAGGCTTCAGTTGTTTTCTTTTCAGTAAACTACCTCCACAAAGCTGACAAGCAATTGACCCTCCCCCTCACACAACTACCCACACATTGCCATCCACTGAATGTATATCCAATGTTTTTGAGTCTTCGTGGAAATGGTTCATCATTCTTTTGATAGCTTATTTTGTACTGTAGAAAATTGAAGTTTAAAAAAAAATTCTACTTTAAGTCTGGATCTTAGGCAAGAAATGTCACAGGTAATGGTAGGGACAAGAAATGTCACAGAAAATGGTAGGGACAAGAAATGTCACAGAAAATGGTAGGGACAAGAAATGTCACAGGAAATGGTAGGGACAAGAAATGTCACAGGTAATGGTAGGGACCATTACTTAGAATTTGTTTTATCAAATGTCATGTGTACAAATTCCACTAGTGCAGGGGTCGGCAACCTTTTGAGCCGAAAGAGCCAAAATTTACAATATTACCCGGCTTTTAAAGAGCCACTAACATTTTTATGTCAATAGTATATTTGTTTAGGATTATATATATATATATATATATATATATATATATATATATATATATATATATATATATATATATAATCCTAAACAAATATCATACTATATATATAATTTAAAATAAATAGCTTTGAATATATGAAATAATCTCATTTGAATTTGTGTTGAGAGGATCTACTATGTAAGTCAGAGTACTTGCATTTGTTTTGAATAGCTCAAATCTCTCAGTCAAAACATCATTCATTTTGTTTATATTAATGCTGAAGTGATTTAGTAGTAGCATTGGTTTTATAAGGATATTTTTTCGTAATTAAGTAATTTAACGCTCACCATGTATTCAACAAAAAAGTATTTTCGAAACAAACCACTTCTTTAAGCAAGACATAGGCTGGGTTTTCCTTTCAGTTTTACACTTCAGAGGCGTAGCGACCCTTCCTGGCGCCCGGTGACAAACTTTCGATTTGCACCCCCCCCCTTTCAAACTTTCGATTTGCACCCCCCCCCCCTCAAACTTTCGATTACTTTTTCCAACCCATTTTGGCGCCCTCTAAGGTCGGCGCCCCTCTGTTCCCCCTCCCCCCCCATCGCTACGCCTCTGTTACACTTAGCTGGTTTAGTTTCTTTGTGATATCCACTATGAAGTTGAATGTTTTAATTTGGAATGGACAATGTAATAGGAAGTACATTGAGATAGGGTGTAACTAAATATTATCATATAATAGTGAATGTTTATTGTTTATATCTTATGTTATATCGTTTGTTACTGAATCTTGCAGACTAATATTTTTATGAGTTTTGAAAATAAAATAATTATTAATATTTGTGCATGAAGCTGAAGAGCCGCAACTGGACACCAAAAGAGCCGCATGCGGCTCGCGAGCCGCAGGTTGCCGACCCCTGCACTAGTGTGTAGGGGGGCTACAGGACATTACCCCTCCGGACATTTAACCCCCCCCCCCCCCCCCCCCCCCCGGAATAACCCCACCCCCCTCTCAAGTTAGAATCCTAACTAACTAGAATTCTCTACCTATATACTACTTTAATCCTAACCTTAAGAAAATTTAATAAAAAAAACGTTTTAATAACAAGCTTTTATGTAACAATGCACTAAAATTAAAAGGAGAAAATAATTATACACTACTATTTAAATAACTAAAGAAAAGCGTGGTTCACTTTAGTATCTATTGGATACCTTTACTAATATTTAGGAAGAGACCCAAGAGTTACATGACGAAAAACTATTGAGCGTGATGACGCGCTATTGAACGTGCTGATGCGTGTGGAGTAGTTGGATAGATCTGCCTACTAATTTGGTCAAAATTTTAATTAATTCATAAGAAATTAATTAGGCATTTAATTAAGTCAAATTTAATGTCATGATGCATTGTCTTCATGTCTTTACCCATGTTCCAACTACGAACCTTATCTGTTAGGTAGAAGTGCCTGCAATTTCGCTCGGGCGTTTCAATCTAGACAGACAGACTGACAAGGAAGTGAGTTAAATAAAAGCTTGTAAAATAGACCAAAACCTAAGCATCCACCATAGCCTAAAACTTACAAAACCAAAACCAACGCTAGACATTGGTTTAACCCTAACCCTGTCCGGGGGTTGATGTCCTACTGGGTGGGGGGTAATGGACGTGGGGGAAATGCCCTGTTCCCCGGAAGGGGATATACACTAGCTACAGATTAAAAAAAAAAATACTACCTGGCATAAATACATTACAAATATAACAAAGCATGAACTAGCTGACTAGCACCATTGTCTTATTTATGTTTTATTTTGGCTGCCAAGGCAGCTTTCTGTGCAGGCCCACCCCAGAAGTGTTTAAATACTTGCCGCTCATTACTTAAAGAGGTATAAATATCAGCGTGTAAATCTGAGAAGACAACAGAAGATTTAGTGGCCTGCAGGATGTCTGCATCAAACTGACAGTAGTTGGATGCAAGCCAACTTGTGCACTCTGCCATCTCTTGAGTGACAGTCAGTGAATGGGGTAGGATGTGCTCTACCAGGCCCATCCTCAAGGCATCATCAGCAGACAGCACTCTGGCAGAACACAACAAGTCCAATGTCTTTTTCCTGCCCAGCAAGTGGACTAGTCTTGTGGTCGCCCCCCACCCTGTGGTCACACCCATTTTGGCCTGGACGAAGCCAACTCTTGCAGTTGGGGAGACAACTCTAAAATCACATGCCGTGGAGAGTTCAGCACCCCCACCCAATGTGTGGCCTGTTTTGAACATAGAGATAATTGCATTATAAATTCATTAAATGTGTTACAAACCTACCCTATAAATTATACTAAGGTGCTAAAAATATACACTGCAAAGGTGCTACAACCTACCCTGGCTGTAAAGGTGCTACAAACCTACCCTGTAAAAGTGCTACAAACCTACCCTGTAAAAGTGCTACAAACCTACCTAGTAAAAGTGCTACAAACCTACCCTGTAAAAGTGCTACAAACCTACCCTGTAAAAGTGCTACAAACATACCCTGTAAAAGTGCAACAAACCTACCCAGTAAAAGTGCTACAAACTTACCCAGTGAAAGTGCTACAAACCTACCCTGTAAAAGTGCTACAAACCTACCCTGTAAAAGTGCTACAAACCTACCCTGTAAAAGTGCTACAAACCTACCCAGTACAAGTGCTACAAACCTACCCAGTACAACTGCTACAAACCTACCCAGTAAAAGTGCTACAAACCTACCCAGGGAAAGTGCTACAAACCTACCCTGTAAAAGTGCTACAAACCTACGCTGTAAAAGTGCTACAAACCTACCCTGTAAAAGTGCTACAAACCTACTTAGTAAAAGTGCTACAAACCTACTCAGTGAAAGTGCTACAAACCTACCCTGTAAAAGTGCTACAAACCTACCCAGTGAAAGTGCTACAAACCTACCCTGTAAAAGTGCTACAAACCTACCCTGTAAAAGTGCTACAAACCTACTTAGTAAAAGTGCTACAAACCTACTCAGTGAAAGTGCTACAAACCTACCCTGTAAAAGTGCTACAAACCTACCCTGTAAAAGTGCTACAAACCTACCCTGTAAAAGTGCTACAAACCTACCCAGTGAAAGTGCTACAAACCTACCCTGTAAAAGTGCTACAAACCTACCCAGTGAAAGTGCTACAAACCTACCCTGTAAAAGTGCTACACTGACAAGTGGCAGGTTCAAGAGTCTGGTCAATGTATGGTGCTGGAATGCGGCCATTTCCTCACCAAAATGCAAAGCTTGTTTGACAAAAGCTAGGTCTCCACCCGAACAAAAATGGCCATCTTTACCCACGAGAATCAAACCTTTTCCTTTTGACCATTTTTCTAACTGGGTGATATGATCTGCCATTTCAACCATCATTTTACCTTTAAAAAATAATGGAACAACAAAAATAGTTTTAAAACTTGTATACTAAAAGGATTCAGGATGCCACCAAAGGAATGAAAAAAAGAAAGTGGAGAGTTTAACTTTAAGGATTATAACCAGTGATAATGTTAAGAGTTTAACTTTAAGGATTATAACCAGGGCATCATAAACCAGTGTTAAATGTTCTGACATGATGAAAGCATCACACATACCTGAGAGGGAGTTGCGTTTGGCTGGGTTATTGATCAGGATTGTGGCTATGCCTGTGTTGTCATCCATCTCTAGGTCTACAGATCCACCTTCAAATTTGACCAACTCATTTCTAATGGCCAGTAGGTTTTGGTGGTTGACCTGGGTAGACAGAAGCCTTGACCCTGGCCACCAGCCTAATGCTATACATTGCAAGAATAGTTCATAGTCATCTCAACAATCTTTATATATCAGAAGAAATTGCATCTACTCAAAGTTAAAGGCACATGACTAAAAGAACAGAACATTAGAAATACAATGACCAAAAGAACAGAACATTAGAAATATATTGACTAAAAGAACAGAACATTAGAAATACAATGAGTAAAAGAACCGAACATTAGAAATACAATGACTAAAAGAACAGAACATTAGAAATATATTAACTAAAAGAACAGAACATTAGAAATACATTGACCAACAGAACAGAAAATTAGAAATACAATGATAGAGACTAAACTTTAAGTACATACCATTGATAAATAAGCGAGAAACCATTTTTGTAATCCGATGTAAATACAGCAGTAAAATTTCCATCAAACTTCCATGACACTCCTGTTACCAGAACTATATTTCAGCTAATGGTGTTGGGGCTAATGAGTGGTGTATACAAAATTGTTGTGTAAAGAGGATAGAGCTTTGGCTACAAAATTCTTTTGCTATGACTTTGTGGTGTGGTGCATTTAGAGCATAACAGTTAAGTGTACACAATGGGTTTAACTCTTCATGGAGAAAAAACAATTGCAACTGATTATGCATGGGGGCTATTAAGTGACAATTACTTAACTCATTTCTAAAACATTCTGACCTATTTAGTGATAATTACTTTCATTTCTAAAACATCCTGACCTATTTAGTGACAATTACTTAACTCATTTCTAAAACATCCTGACCTATTTAGTGACAATTACTTAACTCATTTCTAAAACATTCTGACCTATTTAGTGATAATTACTTTCATTTCTAAAACATCCTGACCTATTTAGTGACAATTACTTAACTCATTTCTAAAACATCCTGACCTATTTAGTGACAATTACTTAACTCATTTCTAAAACATCCTGACCTATTTAGTGATAATTACTTAACTCATTTCTAAAACATCCTGACCTATTTAGTGATAATTACTTTCAATTCTAAAACATCCTGACCTATTTAGTGACAATTACTTAACTCATTTCTAAAACATCCTGACCTATTTAGTGACAATTACTTAACTCATTTCTAAAACATCCTGACCTATTTAGTGACAATTACTTAACTCATTTCTAAAACATTCTGACCTATTTAGTGATAATTACTTTCATTTCTAAAACATCCTGACCTATTTAGTGACAATTACTTAACTCATTTCTAAAACATCCTGACCTATTTAGTGACAATTACTTAACTCATTTCTAAAACATCCTGACCTATTTAGTGATAATTACTTAACTCATTTCTAAAACATCCTGACCTATTTAGTGATAATTACTTTCATTTCTAAAACATCCTGACCTATTTAGTGACAATTACTTAACTCATTTCTAAAACATCCTGACCTATTTAGTGACAATTACTTAACTCATTTCTAAAACATCCTGACCTATTTAGTGATAATTACTTAACTCATTTCTAAAACATCCTGACCTATTTAGTGATAATTACTTTCATTTCTAAAACATCCTGACCTATTTAGTGACAATTACTTAACTCATTTCTAAAACATCCTGACCTATGTAGTGACAATTACTTAACTCATTTCTAAAACATCCTGACCTATTTAGTGATAATTACTTAACTCATTTCTAAAACATCCTGACCTATTTAGTGACAATTACTTAACTCATTTCTAAAACATCCTGAAATGAAAGAGAGGTAAAAACAAACCTCCCTGGATATCTTTATCCAGAGGCGTAGCGAGGGGGAGGGGCGGGGTGCGGAGCGCACCGGGTGACACCATTTAGGGGGGGGGTGACACCAAGGCAAAAAATAGTAAAATATATAGAGAAAAATTTGAGAGGGGGGGGGTGTAAATCAAAAGTTTGAGGGGGGGTGCAAATCGAAAATTCAAATTTTGTCCCTGGAAGGAGTCGCTATGCCTCTGAGGGGGTGACACCATTAAGTGCCGCACCAGGTGACACTCGACCTCGCAACGCCACTGTCTTTATCTATAATAATAGATTCACTATTCTGTCTCTCTATCTGTCATACAGGAACAATATATAGAAAGCACAATTAAAGTAAAATCTTTTACAGTCAAACTGAAAATGAAACGTAATGTCACTTGGAACATAGAGGGAATATTCTAAAGGCGGAAAAGTACACACAATAATATTGCCGTCATCGATACTTGATAATAGAGACACTAAAATTACAACCTAATATAAATTGGTAATCCATCTTTTAGGTGCGTAAAAATCTGCAAGGCTAGTAATGTGAAAAAAAGTCGACCCATTGTTGTTAATGCTTTATACTTTATACTATACTTTATATTATAATAGAAGTAGATCTACTAATAGTAAACTAATACTAGATCTAGGTCTATCTTATCTATAATAATTATAATAATATCTACTACTAGTAGTACTAGAATCTAGATTCTAGATCTATCTACTCTACTGTCTAGTTATACTAGTTATATAGATTCTAGAATCTAGAGCTTAAAATCTAATTAGGCCCTAAGCCTAATATAATGGCTAATATATTAAATATTAGCCTAATATGAATAATATTATTATGTTTAATGTGGAAGAGAAAATGTGGAGTTACTCACTCTAGATCTAGAATCTATATATAGTTCTACAACTGATCAAATCTACTGTTATTATTAGTAAATTTTTAGTATTGCTGTAATTTACTGTAAACTTTCAGATGACAAAATGGCATGACCTATAACCTCTAAGTTCAGATGGCATAGGTTAGATGTTATACCAGCCGAGGATAGGCCTTGACTTTGTAGTTTTATATATATACGAGCCGACCCGCAGCGTATCATACTCCGCTATTTAGTTATTTTATTTTCTACTTTTCAGTAATTCATAATTTGTGAATTCGACAGTACCAATGCTGCCACTGAAATATTTACTTTAAAACACTTTCAGTAGGTCGTTAAGGACGATACCCCCCACCCTCCTTTCCCCCAACCCCTACCCTACTCCCACCGCCGTGAAAACAGCCTCCTCTTAGTTACCTCCCCTAAGTTTAAAATCGTTTCAAACTAAATTATTCTAAAAAATTAGAATGTTTCTGTCATTTACTTTAATTAATCATCAATAAAGACCTAATTTCATGATCCTTACGGCATAAAAAAAAAATCTGCTCATGATCTTCTAATTCGGACTTTGGCCGGTCGTCCCTAGCCAGATGATCTTCTAATTAAGACTTTGGCCGGTCCACCATGACCGCACCGGATGACACCATTTAGGGGGATGACACCAAGGCAAAAAAAAAAATGCAAAATGTACAGAAGAAAAAGTTTTTTTGCTAGTTCCATTAATGATTAATTAAAGTTAAATAGTCTTTGATGCACAAATCGACAACTATTACAAAAGAAGGTGAGGGTGACACCATAACGTAAACGTGCAAACTATAGAGAAAACAATGCTACATCAGACTGTTTTACTAAAAGACTATAGATAAACATTGTTACTATTAAGTCTGCAGTGATTAAAGCTTATATATTTAAAATATAGGCCTATGTAAGCCGACACACACACACACATACACATATACAACAAGGCCCACCTACATCTCTCATGTAGTACAACAAGGTCCACCTACATCTCTCATGCAGTACAACAAGGTCCACCTATATCTCTAGTACAACAAGGTCCACCTATATCTCTAGTACAACAAGGTCCACCTACATCTCTCATGTAGTACAACAAGGTCCACCTATATCTCTAGTACAACAAGGTCAACCTACATCTCTAGTACAACAAGGTCCACCTACATCTCTCATGTAGTACAACAAGGTCCACCTACATCTCTCATATAGTACAACAAGGTCCACCTACATTTCTCATGTAGTACAACAAAGTCCACCTACATTTCTAGTACAACAAGGTCGACCTACATCTCTAGTACAACAAGGTCCACCTACATCTCTCATGTAGTACAACAAGGTCCACCTATATCTCTAGTACAACAAGGTCCACCTACATCTCTCATGTAGTACAACAAGGTCCACCTACATCTCTCATGTAGTACAACAAAGTCCACCTTGTAGAAAAAATAATTGCACACCAAGTGAACGCCGATAAAATGTGCATAATAGCGCGGAATATTATTTATTATTAGTATTTTATAAATTCACACGCGTTTTTTAAGAAATCGGAAATAGCGAAAATTACTACTTCCGGTCAACGGAAATTACTCAAAATTTGACAGAAGGCAGATAATTAGATCTTTTACTTACATGCAGTGGCGTAGCGAGGTTGGGTGTCACCCGGTGCGGCACTTAATGGTGTCACCCCCCAGAGGCGTAGCGACCCTTCCCGGGGACAAATTTTCTATTTGCACCCCCCTCAAATTTTCGATTTGCACCCCCACCCCTCAAACTTTCGATTTGCACCCCCCTTCAAGTTTTCGATTTGCACCCCCCCCCCCTCAAGTTTTCGATTTGCACCCCCCTCAAACTTTCGATTTGCAGCCCCCCTCAAGTTTTCGATTTACACCCCCCCCCCTCAAGTTTTCAATTGGCACCCCCCCTCTAAATTTCGATTTGCACCCCCCCTCAAGTTTTTCTCTATATATTTTTCTATTTTTTGCCTTGGTGTCACCCCCCTAAATGGTGTCACCCGGTGCGATCCGCACCCCCCCCCCTTCTTACGCCCCTGCTTACATGTGAAATTTCTATTTGAAAAAGTACGCATGTAAATTTATAAAGTAATAATAATTTGCGCACTATTATGAACATCTGTATTTGGCGCTCGCTTGGTGCGCAATTCTTTTTTCTATGAGATTGTATTCTATTTTTAAAAGTTTAAGTATTTAAAATGGATTAAAAATCATAACTATATCCCGAGTTCCCTTCCCCTGTTGTTTTATATAAGAATATTCGAGAAAATTTAGGGGAGATCACTCCCGGTTTATTTATTTTTTTGCACGATTACAAGACTTTCTCTACTTCGTATATACGAGAAAGTAAAAATGGTGTAAAGATTTCAATTGCTTTGTTTAGACTATGTTTAGACTATGTTTAGACTATGTATAAACTATATTTAGACTATGTTTAGACTGTGTCATCTCTGATAAAAGAGAATAAGGGTGTGATGGAACTCCCACCCCCATGTGGATTGAATCTATGTCGGGATGGGCCTTTATATAGACATATACATTTGTGTGTGTGTGTGTGTGTGTGTGTGTGTGTATGATCAAGGTAATTATTTTTGTTTCCGATCCCCCCCCCCCACCCTTTCCAGTGCGAAATTTCTGTCTACTAAACTGGCAGCACCAGGGGGAGGGGTCGCTCCCCCACCCGCCACTCTGTAGCTAGGCAGCTGGACGGGAAGAAAGAATGCCTGATGACGTATGATGTGTTATCACCTTGAGTGGAAGCAAGCATGTGTAAACAAACATAACCTTACTCAAGTGGGGGAGGAGGACGACATGTCCACTCATGAAATAGTGCAGCATTTGTAAATAAATGCATTAATTTTCTCTATTAATTAGCTCAATTAATTAACTCCATAAATTAACTCTAATGAAATAAACAAAAGTCCCATCTGTTTCTAAAAAAAGATGGGCCACAACTCCTGTCACCTGTAAAGTCGTGTTGCTACATTCGTGCGAACAGTTGGGGGGGGGGGGGGGGGGGCAGTAGTGGAGACAACAGGAAGGTAGAGTAGGTAAGGGGAGCGCTGTGACAGCACGCCTCGCCTTGTCCGTCCCCACAGCACTTGATGAATGCCGGTCATGATCTAGTCAGGGGAAGTAACCACCAGAGCCCACGGAATTCAACGTTTGCCTAATCCAGTGGGTTAGATCTAGCAGAATATCACTAACTTGCATTGTAAGTACGCATAGATTTTCTAGCACATTGAAGAATATCACTAACTTGCATTGTAAGTACGCATAGATTTTCTGGCACATTGAAGAATATCACTAACTTGCATTGTAAGTACGCATAGATTTTCTGGCACATTGAAGAATATCACTACCTTGCATTGTAAGTACGCACAGATTTTCTGGCACATTGAAGAATATCACTAACTTGCATTGTAAGTACGCATAGATTTTGTGGCACATTGAAGAATATCACTAACTTGCATTGTAAGTACGCATAGATTTTCTAGCACATTGAAGAATATCACTAACTTGCATTGTAAGTACGCATAGATTTTCTGGCACATTGAAGAATATCACTAACTTGCATTGTAAGTACGCATAGATTTTCTGGCACATTGAATAATATCACTAACTTTTATTGTAAGTACGCATAGATTTTCTGGCACATTGAATAATATCACTAACTTTTATTGTAAGTACGCATAGATTTTCTGGCACATTGAAGAATATCACTAACTTGCATTGTAAGTACGCATAGATTTTCTGGCACATTGAATAATATCACTAACTTTTATTGTAAGTACGCATAGATTTTCTGGCACATTGAAGAATATCACTAACTTGCATTGTAAGTACGCATAGATTTTCTGGCACATTGAATAATATCACTAACTTTTATTGTAAGTACGCATAGATTTTCTGGCACATTGAATAATATCACTAACTTGCATTGTAAGTACGCATAGATTTTCTAGCACATTGAATAATATCACTAACTTTTATTGTAAGTACGCATAGATTTTCTGGCACATTGAAGAATATCACTAACTTGCATTGTAAGTACGCATAGATTTTCTGGCACATTGAAGAATATCACTAACTTGCATTGTAAGTACGCATAGATTTTCTGGCACATTGAAGAATATCACTAACTTGCATTGTAAGTACGCATAGATTTTCTGGCACATTGAAGAATATCACTAACTTGCATTGTAAGTACGCATAGATTTTCTGGCACATTGAAGAATATCACTAACTTGCATTGTAAGTACGCATAGATTTTCTGGCAAATTTAAAGCATGATATCAATCAATGCTCATTTTTTTGCAACCTAGTGGCTAGACTCAACACTAATGATCTCATGATGGTCACGTGATGATCACGTGATGGTCACGTGATGGCCACGTGATGGTCACGTGATGGTCACAGTGTCAGTAACATCAGTCCAGCGTGGCCACTGAAATATTATTGACGACCACGTGATAAATGTTGTTTGAGAACCGCACAATGGGTTATACAACAACAACCGTCTGAAAAGAAAGGATTGTTTCATTCATTCGTTTTGTTTCGTTAAAACATCGTTGTATTGCAGCTTTTTAAAGATCTCAGCCTGCTATCAAACATTGTGTATATACATGAGTGTGCTGTTATATTTATACATGAGTGTGCTGTTATATTTATATCACTGGCTACTCCGTGCACAGACCCAGCTGCTAGAAACAGAGGGACAATGACCCATTCCGGTGCCCGAGCCGAACGGTCAGTTTTGTGCCCTCTCTCTTACAGCACATACGGACAAAGTTGTCATCGGTCACTGACTCAGTATTTATTTGACTTGAGCATGAGCACACAATCTAAACTCATAGGGACTTTTTAAAATTATTGTTGGCGCCCTTAATCATCTGCTCCCAAGGCGCCCCACTCTATCCGCTATCATCTATTTATATTTATAGAAGGACATCCAAACTTTTTCAAGATGCAAAAGTCGACCCGCCTTTTCTTTATTAATTTATAAACAGTGTGCCATTTTTATATTTAAAGAAACTCATAATTTATTCTTTTTCGTGCCTAAAAAACGTTGTTATGAACGTTTTTATAAGCTTTTATTACAAGCTTTTTACTAGCTTTTATTTAACTTGCTTCCTCTGTCGTCATACATCGAAACGGGTGAGCGAAATTTCAAGCACTTCAAACTGACAGATTCGTTTCAAAGTTGACACGTGGGTCAAGACTTGAAGACAATGCAATATGACATTATAATTATTTGACTTAATTAGATGCCTTATTAATTTTTTTATGAATTAATGGACCCAAGCGAGAATAATCTTAAAGGTATTCGAGAAGCCCATCAAATATTTTTAAAAAGCCATGCGCTGTGTAATTAAAATTAATAGGGTTATAAATTCCTGACTGTTTGATTTTTTTTTCGGACTTTAAAAAAATTGGATGTATTTGACGTTTTAGAATTTTTGGTAACTAAGTACAATTTTAAATAAACCGGGAGTGATCCCCCGTAAAATTTCTCGAATTTTCTTATATGGCAACTCGGGATATAGACATGATTTTTAATCCATTTTAAATACTTAAACTTTTAAAAATAGAATATATTTTATTGTTTTAAATAAAATCTGGTAGAAAAAGAATTGCACACTTAGTGAACCCCAAATAAAATGTGCATAATAGTGCGGAATATTATTAGTACTTTATAAATTCACATGCGTTTTTTTTTTGAGAAATCGGAAATAGCAAAAATTACTACTTCCGGTCAACGGAAATGACTCAAAATTTGACAGAAAGCAGAGAATTAGATCTTTTACTTACATGTGAAATTTTACTTATCTATCAGAAACAGTACTCAAGTTAGAAATCTATATGCTTTTGAAAAATTGAAAGTAGAATAAGTTCCGATTCCGGTTACCAGAAATCGCTGAAAAGTTGTAACAGAACTTCAAATTCAATTTCAATACTTATATATGAAATTTCATCAACCTAGCTGTAACGGTACTCAAGTTATCGTGTTTACAGACACACATACACACACGCATACATACATACGGACAAGATTGCTAAACTATGTTTTTTTTTCGACTAAGGGAGCAGTGTTTCTTCCAGACTTATTTCTCCGGGGGGGGGGGGGGGGGGGGCACTTGAAATTTTCGGGGGGGGGGGGCGGTAAACTTTCTTCGGGGGGGGGGGGGCATGCCTGGAAGAGATGCCTGGAAGAAACTCTGTCAGGGAGGTGTAAAACGTCGAGATCTGTGAAGATCTCGATTTTTTTTTTTTTTGCACGATTCCAATACATCCTCTATACTTAGTATACGAGAGAGTAAAAGTGGCAGAACTAGATCATGTGGTTTAAAATAGCATCACGTTATTTAAAAACTTTATCTGCAAAGTTTTGTAAACAAAGAACTATCGATCACCGAGTTCCTGTACAGCTAATCAATGTTTATCTTACGAAAATGAAAGATCTGGTTTTAACTTAGGCTTGATGAAAATAAATAGAAATGTAGCCTCAAACTCTGCATAAATTGCATAAAAAACGTTTTAATAACAAGCATTTACGTAATAATGCACCAAAAAGGATAAAATAAATGATTTTCCACGCTTTTCTTTACAGTTATTCAAATAGTAGTGTATTATTATATATTTAAAGATAATCATTTATTTTCACCTTTTAGTAAACGTTTTTTTTTTAATTATATAAAAGTTTGTTATTAAATCGTTTTTTACGCATTTTTAAAATAGGTTTTTATTTAACTAGCTCTTGGGGGCCATCCATAAATGACGTCACGCTTTTTCTTGACGATTTTTAACTCCCCCCTCCCTTTCGTCACACGTCGTCACAAAAAGCCAGACTTCCCCCTAAAATGACGTCACACATCAGCCTACACCCCCCCCCCCTCAAAAATGATGTTGAATTTTTCTTAAAAGATCGATATTTTTCCAAAATCTTGTCTGAACTCTCTCAACTTAGAGTATTTCAATCAATTCATATAACAATTTATTAAAACCATTTTCTAAAACGCGAAATAAGGGCTAAAACTCGTTTTCTAACATTGATTTTTTATAATGAAAGTGTGACGTCACACAATCTGAACCACCACCCCCCTCCCCCTCATCACACACCTTCACAAAATTACGGACCCCCTCCCCCCTACGAGTGTGACGTCATTTATGGACGACCCCTTAAATGCAATATAAGCCAATTAGAGTGGATACTTAGTTGTTTTTTAAAGAATGAATCAAAGTTTTCCAATGAATAAATGACATTCTTCAATTGTTTTTAAAAGAATGAATCAAAGTTTTCCAATGAATAAATGACATTCTTCAAAAAAAGAACCACCATTTAAATAACGCGCCGAATATGTGTATAATGGTGCATACAATAGTTACCACCTTATATTGCAATCTTTAATTGATGTTTAAAAAATTAATTAAACGTCTAATTAGGCCCCTCTTTCAAAGCTTGCATTGTCATTTGGTCTTGACTTATCTGTCAAGTTTGAGAAAAAAAATCAGTTCTGTAGAAAAGGGGTAAAAAATAAATTATTTTGGTCGCAAGTTTCGACCCAGACAAGCGACAGATATAGGGGCGGTAAATCAGGTTAAATAAAAGATGGTAAAAAAATCACTCAAAAAAAAAATCTCATGCCGACGATGTTCTTTTTGTGATGGCAAAATGGAGTTGTACAATGCACCATTATTTTTGTGATGGCAAAATGGAGTTGTACAATGCACCATTATTTTTGTGATGGCAAAATGGAGTTGTACAATCCGCCATTATTTTTGTGCTACCGAATCTCACATTGTCCTTACTGCCGGGAAGACGGACGTGGAAAAGTATGTCAGCTCCACCATTTTTGACGCGAGAGATCAACTGGAGACACGACAACATCCGTCCTTGTCACCGTCTGCTGTGTCCCCCACCAGCCTTCGATGTATTTATGGGGCGGGCAGCGATGGCCCGTCACGCATCACAGATTAAAGAGTGACTGAGTTCTTTGAATCCCGCGACTAATGAGGACTCCAGCAGTAACCGGTTATTTTTACACCGCGTTCTTTGATTCGAACTGAGAAAATATGTGGTTGTGGGTGTGTGGAGGGGGGGGGGGGGTATTTTTACACCACGTTCTATGATTCGAACTGAGAAAATATGTGGTTGTGGGTGTGTGGAGGGGGGGGGGTGTTTGCGTTAAACAAGCATTTAAAAGTTTTATCATA